AATCCCCACTAAATTAGAGCACATTTGACAGAGGCCTTGGACTGAAAGAGAAGGAGGGAGGGCTTGAGGGTCACTGGCAAAGCTATAAGGGGCCCTAGGACAGGGAGAGCAGGGGGTTGCCAGTCATGGTAGGCTGCACTGGCAAGATGCCCTACAGCACTGTGTAAGGCAGGGGTGGGTAAAATGTGGCCCGCAGGCCAGATGCCACCCACCAGGCCATTCTATCCAGCCCGCGGGGCCCCTAAAAAATTTAGAAAATTTATATTTATCTGCCCCTGGCTGCCTGTTATGTGGCCCTCAAAGGCTTGCCAAAACTCGGTAAGCAGCCATCTGCCCGCCTATCTCTGGTGTAAGGGCACAAAAGGAACCAGCCCTGGAGGCCTGGCTGTGAAGCCAGATGGTCAAAGTGCTCTCTCTGCATATTATCATGGAAAAGAAGGGGAGAGCCATCCACCATGGAGGGAGGAGGATGGGGGGAAGCAGAGCTCTGCCCAGCACCTTTACTCTCTGGCCCAGAGCACAGGCAAGATCTCCCTTTCCTACTGGGGAGGTGCATTCTCAATCCAGGCACTTTCCTGGAAAATGACCTGGAGTAGATTTCTAAGAAAACGCAGGAGCTTCTGGAGCAATGGTCCCGCCCCAGAGGCGGGATGTGAAATTCTGCTGTACGGAGAACTGAACAGGAAGGCAGAACGCCACAGCACAGACTTGCCGAGTCACCTTCTCCTTCAAAGGGATTTCAGCAAGTGGGAGGGGCAGGGAAAAAGAAACCTTTGGTGTATGTGGCAGTGCAGGACAAATATTTTTTCAAGCAAATAATTCAGCTGCCCAAAAAATTGACCCTCTGGGTTGATCCGAATCATTTGTACCAAATGCAGCAAATATAGCCGAAGCCACACAAGTGGCTGGAGGAGGGTTCAGGTTCAAGGCTGGGATTCAGGTGATCCAGCTTCAATTTACTGCTCTGCCACAGACTTCCTATGTGATCAAGCCAATCCATCTGCCTCAGTTCCTCCAGTGTAAAATGTTTAATGGTCCTCCCTGTCTCCCACCCTCTGCCTATTTCGATATAAGTTTTACTCCAAGTTCTTCCAGATAGGGGCCATACAGACAATACCTACCACAAAAATTTCTATCTGGGCCCTTTAGACATTACAACAATGATAATGGTGCTAGCAATAGTTGTGTTTGAATACATCTGTTAGCAGGGTTCCGGTACAGTTTCCTTGAGTAGCACAGATAGGGGGTTTTGTCTGAAAAGAATGATACAAAGCTGTGTTATAGCTGTGTTATGGATTCCCAGGGTAACCTGGCTATTGTTAGCACAGTTTTAGCCACAGCATGGATGGGATATAAAGTTATATAAAAAAACCCTCTTTGGTTACAATGCTGGCACCCAGCAGCACTTCATCTCTGGTGGAGGTATCATTATCACTGCTAGTACTATCAGCCTGCAATGGTGGCAGCAATAGAGAAAGAAGGATGGATTTAAAGCAAGAGGGAATGGCTAACAATTTAAATTTCTATGGAAGAAATTCAGACTCCCAAGTTTGAAAACCATGACCAAGCTACCTTAAGGAAGACCCAACCATTGGCTACTTCCTGAGGCAGGGTACTGAGCGAGCTGGACTAAGTGATACAACTTGCCCTTTGTCATTCTCCTTAATTGGACCACACATGAAAGCCAGCCCCACAAATCAGCCCTTTTTCTATCTTATGCTGAATGCACGGTATCTTTTTGGTCTGTGAGAGTGCAAAAGCACCAAGTCCCAGAAGACAGTAACAACCTACTGGGGAAGATAAAAAGGAACACTGGCTTTAGCCTACCTACAGCCTTAAGCCATTTTACAGAGTATGCAAATCCTTAGAAACGAAGTTAAATATCCACTTTTCCTCACAATTACAAAAAGAACTCAGTTATCATGTAAAATATAGACAGCCTGATGTAAGTAGGATAGTTCCCTACTCCCTGAAGGATGAATTGCTACTTGGAAGCAAAGCAGTTCTATTTTGGTCAGGATCTCCCAAAGCCCCATCACACAGCATCACTCCAAGACCCTCGAAAGGGTTAGAATCATAGAAAAGTAGGGCTGGAAGAGACCTCCAGAAGTCATCTAGTCCAGCCCCTTTGCCTGAGGGGCAGGATCATCCCTATCCAAACCATCCTTTACAAATCCATAATCTAACCTCTTAGTTAAACTACCGCCAAAAACCTGACGCAACACAAGACAATACCCTAACCTGCCACAGGAAAAGCAGGATAACCATAGCAGCCAGCATCCTCCTTCTCTAAGAGGTTAATCACTTTGTGCATATAAATAGAATTTGAAGACAATACCACTGTTATAAGCTCCTGTACAGGGCTTGCCATCCATGTATCCCAAAGCACTTTTGAAATGTGGTCAAGTACTGTATTTACTCAAATACACAATGAATGCCCCCCCACCCCCAACTGGCATAGGGAAAAAAATCCCCTTGTCTTATAATCACATGCAAGGAAATCTTGCTAAGGACATTGTCTATATTAAACTGCTGCCAAAAGCAGCATGTGCTCAGCAATGGAAACTGACTATGAAGTTGATTAAATGCAGCCAACGCTGAACATGACTATAAAAACACATGGCCTACAATGCACAAACATGCTGATGGGAACTTTATTTATATTTTGAACTTTTTCAAGGCCAAATCCATTCCAGATTCAGTTGGGTAAAGCCCAATAGTCAAGTTCCAAAATTTGACTGAGCAAAGCTCAGTTGTCAAGTCTGTGTGGCTCTACCACCAAGCAAATATCCTCCCTCCCAGACCCATCGGTCTGGGGCTTTGGATGCTCCACAAATTCAGGCAGGTATCCTACATGTAAGTCCCAGGCCCGGAGGCCTTGGGGTTCTTCTCTGCCAGTAACTCCCACAGATATGCACATGACCTCTTATAGGTACAGCTGCACTTTCAGAAAGAGGGCACACATACTGGAAGCACATGCACACATACACACACATACTGGAAGCATATGCACACACACACATGCACATATTGGAAGCATGCATGTACACACATATGGACACAGGCCATCTCCTATGGCCAAAGTGTAGATTTTCAACACAGGGGTCCTACCATACACCTCCCATACTGCTAGTAAGAGAGGTGCCCCAGCTAGATGGAAGAGTCCCATAGGAAGCCCCATTAGGAAAAACATTGAGAATTACAGAGCTAGAGCCATCAAGGGAGTGGGAGTTGTGTCTTTGGCTGGGGCTTTCAGATTTGAGCTCTCTCCACGTTCATTTACAGCTAAACAAACAGCCCCTGGAAAGCACAGCCAAGTTAAAAAGGTAGAAAACAAACATGAACACAAAGTCAATCCTCTCTCAGCGTTGGCATGTTGCTCACCTCTATTGTGGGGTCATATTCATCAACAAAATGGTTCTGAATGAGCTGTATTGTCAAAGCGCTCTTCCCAACGCCACCTGCTCCAACCACCACCAGCTTATACTCAGTCATTTTCTGACTGACCCCTGCTGAGGGACTCCAGTAGCACCACCACCTGCAAGGAAAGGAAGGTAAAAAAGACACCATCAGTGTTAAGTTAATGCTTTTCTTGTCATCATCTTGGCCACAGAAACATGGAAGAGTGAAAACCACCAGTAAACATGGCAATGTCTGTTATTAGAAGGAATGAGACTCATAACCTCATTAAACAGATATCAAACTCCCAGGCAGCTACTCCTGATTTGTATTGTTTGTACTTCACCAGCAGAGATTGGAGTCCTTGTGCACTAGACACCTTACAAACATAAAAAAGAGACTATCTACTTGTCTGCAAGACAAAAAGCCAAGTGAATTTAAGACGTGAACCAATCTAACCAAGGATATGCAAAAAGTCAGTGGCAGAGCAAGGAAGAAGGCCCTTGCTTCCAATCTCCCAGTCCAGGGCCATACTGCCTCCAATTTTAAAGGAACTCAAAATATGCGATTCAGTCCACTTTCACAAGCAGTGGAATGTGTGACATTTCTAAACGCCAATCCATTGCGCTCAGAAATTCTCATATTTCTCTAAGTTTAGGATAGAGCAAGGTAAACCTCCCCTGCAGGAAGGGGGAAATATAACCACAAGGGATCCATAAGACCAAATTCATCTTTGTTATAAGCTGGCTCACATCGAAAGGAAATAACTCCAGAATGAATTCTAGCTCATACATGGCACCATTTTCTCTTAACTCCAACACACATGTGCTATTCCACTGTCTACATACATACATACACCCTTGAGACAACACCAGATTATGAAAAACAAAAGACCTCCCAAAGAGGTCAATGACTTTTCCCCCCCTATGATTCTGAACACATACAGGAGGAAAAGCACCTCCATTATCTATTGCAGCTTATAAACTTCTCTTGCTGCACTGGCCACTAGAGGCCTTGCTGAAAAGGGAACAGCAGACATCTATTGTGCCTTTGCACAATCACACGCTCTTCCCCAACCTCCCCAGTCCCATCTCCATGTTCCTGAGGCGGAGAGAGCAGTGCAGAAAAGTTAACACATTCTCCCGAGCAATTCAGAAGTGTGCACTACGGAGGATGACACACTGCTCTCCTTGGTTGCTGCCAGCTTGCCTTAGCCCTTGGAAGAGGAGCTGGCTGCGGATGCCTTAAGGCACTTCTGGGAAGCAAATCTTCTACAGAAACCTGCTTTGCTGTCACTAGCAACAAGTGGGGATTTCCTTCCCTTACTTTTATTTCTGCCCCGAATTCCCTGCAAAAGAGGAACTTTGACTCATACTTACAGAAAAAAGGAAACAAAAAAGAGAGAAAGAGAGAGAGATTACGAAACCATGGAGGTTTAAATTGAAACCCACCCTCATCGGACTGCAGAGTCAACCCTGGGTCAGATACCAGCTCCCAGCTGTAACACCGAGCTCTGGAGAAGCTGATCCCCAGACAATGGCGAAGTGGCCTGAAATGCTGAGCTAAGCTCGCTGTCCGGACAGCTCCCTGTCCCAGCCTCCCCGTTTGCACACAAGCAGCCTGCTCTCCCAAAGGGAGAAACTCACACTTCCTTGTTTGTCTGAGAGTGAACTTAGCACTCCTGGAGAGGAGCCAGAGAGAAACCACCCAGGCACCTCACAGAACAGCTGCTCCCTCCTTTCCGTGGAAGCCCTCAGCTCTGCCAGTGCCCTACAGACTACTATAATGGGTGACCTCGGAGTCCCAGCTCTGCCCCGGCTGCTACACCTCAGAGCCCCCAAGGAACCAGGAGAGCCACAATGCACTGGATCAAGCCCCAGGGGGGTTAAATATCCAGGGGCTGGAGGTCTGGTTGTGCTCTCATGCCCTCTGCCTCTGGAATTTATTACCCAAGCTGGCCTGCAGCCAGAATCTCTTAGCTGCAGGGCACAGTGTCAGGCTTGTCCCTCTGCTCTGGCTTCGCTTCTGAGAGGAGGAAAGGGGTGGCGGGGGGCAGTTAGGGAAAGCTGGGCCAGAGCTCATTTATAGTTGGACAGGGGCAGTGACATCCTGCACACTGGATAGACTCTTGTGAGCCTGTCAGGAGAAGCGCAGATTTTTATTTTTATTTTTTAAAAAGAGCCCTTTTATTCCAGGCCCTCCCCCTCCTTTCCATAGCTCTGCCAAGGGACCTCAGCACTGACTCGCCACACCCTCCTGCTAATCCACTGCCTGCCCTCTCCCTCCCAGCTCTGCCAATGCACCTCACTGCTGATCTGTCACGCCTGGGGCTGACCCAACCTTCAGGCTTCCCTCCCACACCAACTTCAACATGCAGCTGCAATAAGCAACACCTATCCCTGCTCTGCTCCTGCTCCCCACCCCCGGCTCTGCCAAGGGGAAAAAATAAAAGCTGTGGCCTTTAGAAATGCTTAAAAGAGGGAAACATCACAAAATAAATTGGGTTTAGTATCAAGTTAAATCACTTGGGGGAGGAGGAAGGTTACTGCATTGACTCATTCATTTTTGCATTTAATGAAACTGCTGAAGAATTCCCTATTTATTGCAGAGTCCGGGGACTCAGCTGCAGAATCCACGTACTCCTTAGATCATGGCACCACAGCAATGACTCAGAGCAGTTTTGCCAGCTCTGGTGACACTATTACCCATCGAAGTAATATTTAGTGCTTCTCGTAAAGAATAGACACCTAGAGTCATGCAATTATGTGAAATGTTGCTTTGTTTGAAAAAAAAGAAAAGGAAAAAAAAGAAGTAGCAAGTGTCTACCTCTAATGAATGCACAGAAAGGTTTGAAAAACAAAGCCCAGAAAGCAAATGTTAAAAATACAATAAAAATCAACTTTAAAGAAAAAAAAAAAACTTATGGTCTCCAAAGGGTTCACAAAGGTGCCACAGGGAAAGCCGTAACCAGGACTATTGGCTACAAATGCTAGGAACAACCAATGGACTTTCAGGCACCAAGTATGTATCAGAAACATAGATGTACATGGAAAGACTTTGCTAGTGTAGTAATGTCTGCTAGGGGTGTTGTTTTAAAAAATTATTTGAGCCCTCACATAAAGGCGATTTTACAGAGTGCTTTTGCTGCTGGAGCCTATTTTGTTCACAGAGCTGATCGAGTTTTACCAGCAAAAGCCATTGTGTGGCTGGTAAAGGTGCATCTGCACTTGGTTTGTGGATATAGCTATACCTGTAAACCATCCCACTAAGTGTTCTAGGCCAAACGCCTGATGTCTTTCTGGACAAAGGATGCTGCAGTGGGAAGATGAGACAAAACACAACAAAGAATACACAGCCTGACCACCCAGCCCAGGGTGGGGAGAAGATCCAAATGGCATGTGTCTTCTGTGCTGCTGTGGAAAGCTGTTAAGAGAATGGCCTGTCTTTTGCCTCATTTTCACACACGATACTGCCCCTCTTCAGCTAAGCCTTGAGTCCTTTGGTGAGGCTTCCTGTGTTACTTCAGGAGAAACATTGCAGTAAGTTATGTTACTAGTGCTTGCTCACTCAGGAGAAAACTCAGTGCAGGTGACTGAGCAAAGCTATGCACAGAGAGGACCAGAGTCTAAGCACAGAAGTGGGCTTGATAGTACATCCCCTGCTCTCCTAGACAGTGGCAAGCAACCATGAAAGGATCAAGTGGGGGGGTGGGGGAGGAGGGGACTCTAGATTTAATATGGCAATCAAGATAGGAAAGCCCAGTGCCTGAAACAACTCTGTCAGCTGTCACTGGTATGGCCTCCTCTGGCAAGAAAGAGATCCCCAGTATCTAAGTATTGCTGCAGGTGGACATAACCATACCTACTGAGCAAGGAGATATCATTATGCAGGACAGCTGAGGGACTGCATGATGCACAGTAGGAGAGTCTGTAAAGGGCAGGGACTCCGCTCTATCTACCAGGGCTTTTTAACAGTGCCCATCAACCCAGTGTCTGGAGACAAAGAAGAACTACATATAATAGCCAATACACATCCACAAACAAGTGGAAGTCATACTGCTGTGAAGGTTATTCCTAACAGTATCCTCTAGAGCAGGGTTGTCCAACTTGTGACCTACTGGCTGAGTGCAGCCCATGAAGTCCATAGACTCCTGCTTGGCTACCATTCCCCCCACCACTTCAACTGGTGCTGTCGCCCAGGTCTTTGGGCTCTTCCTCCTCAGTCCCCGAGGCAACATAGTTTGCTGCATAGCAAGGTGTAGTTGGGGAGAGGTTGCCCATGCAGCGTGCAGCCCCCAGCCACTCAAAAGTTAGACAGCCCTGCTCTTGAGAACCAGCAGAATCCAGCACACAGGACTGTCCACAGATGGAAGCTGCACTGCAGAAGGTGGCGGTGTTGATCACAGTCATCACAACAGCACTAAAGAGAGCTGCAGGTGGCAGACATGAGAGAAGCCAGTAAGATCACAGCGAGTGATGGAGCTGGAGACCACAAGACACTTGGATGCGATGATTTAGGCATGGTGATCCTGCCTTGCACAGGCGGTTGGACTTGATGACCTCCTGAGATCCCTTCCAGACCCTGTCCTACTCCAGCGCACACCAGTCTTCTGCAAGGACTGGGGTGTCACAATAACAGAGCAGAGGCAGAACACTTCTGTGAGCAGAAATTGTCCCTCCTGGGTGTTCCCAAGCACAGACTGGAGAGAAACTAACTGGGCAGGCTTTTAGGGTGTTTCCTTGGACGTGCTATCGTCCTTGCAACACCCTTGCCCTTGACTTCAGTAGTGACCTGGCCCTTTTGGTGCCCATCCAACCCCAAACAAAGTAGTAGATACATTTCATGGCAAACAGAGGGCTCTGCCCACTAGCCAAGAACACACACATGGACACACATACTCGGCCCCCGGAGCCAGGACAATTTTCACAGCCAGCTTTTTCCATTATTTCTGCTTCAGTTCTGGAAAACAGCCTTTTATGTGTTCCTGCCTGTCAGCAAAAGCCCTGTGGTAGCTGTCTAACAATGAGGCCCTTGTCATAGACAATAGTCAACAGAGACACTGAGCTCTGCTATGCTGTGGAAGGCAATCAAGACTAAATCCATCCTTGTGTCCCCACCCTGCCAAGCAGGGACTATACATTTCACTTCTGTGTCCTCACTAGAATCCATTTAGCATTGACCTAGAATTTCCCTGCTCCTCCCTGAACCAACTGGTAGCATGTCTAAGTAGGGGAAGACCATTTCTGGTCACCACCACCCACTGCCGGCTTCCACAGTCTTCTCAGTGACTGGCTAACAAAGCTCAGTTGCTGGCTCTTTCAGAGTTAGGGGGCTGCAGCATTTGAGATATAATACCAGGTATGTCTATAGGGACCAGCTGGGCTGCATGCCCAAGGTCACTGCAGAGGAAATTAAGTGACAAAAGCTATGACAAGAACTCCCTCTCCTGTGCTTAGCCCACACCACTGAAATCTGAGCTGGTTATCCCACTGCAGCTGAGCAATGCAGTGTCAGGAATGCAAGCACCAGCCTGGGGCTGAGGCTCAGTCCAGAGATGGGAAAAATTAGAACTGTGCACACCCTGACTGGAGGGTGCATCTACTAAATCTGGGGTGCAGCAGCCCTCTGGTATGGCAGGAGTTGGGAGACTAGGGGGGTGGGTCCTCCAGTGGCCAAGTGGCAAAGCTGAGTGCACTTCCACCTGTACTTCTGGTTTCGCGGCTGGTGCTTCCAGGGGGTGCATGGCCGATGTCAAGGCCTACGCATTGCGAATGGCAGGAGAGTTCTGAGGAAGTGTGAAGAAGGTAGAAGAAAGCTCTATTCAAGAAGTTAAGAGGGTTTTTCAGCTGGAGTTTCACTATCAGTGGAGAAACAGGATTCTCCATTGATTTTGCTGACCAGTTACACTTATGAAGCCTGTCATGTCTGCTGTAAAACAGGTCCTCTCTTTAGAGATATTCTAATATTCAGTCTACTTCACAGGAAGGCCTTTTACTGAAGAGATCATGTGAGTGGAAGAAACCACTGTCAAAAAGGACACACATTAACTTCAAAGCAAATGACTACAGCAGAGTCATTTGCAATAAATACCTGTAATCAACAGCAGTGCAGGCCCCACAGTGCTAACTGCTGTACACTCGCTCACTCACTCACTCCTAAAAGGGTCCATGCACCAAAGAGCCTATGCTTTAAGTACAAGAACTCTGCTAAAACAAATATCTGTAATCAAAGACACGCTCACTTACTCTCTCCTAAAAAGGTCTATGCACCAAAGAGCCTATAGTTGAAGTAGAAGAGCTCTGCCTTTTCTCCCCATTTGTTCAGGAACTCATACCTACTGAATGTTGGTCCACCTGCTTATTTCCCACTGTTTTAGTCTTTACTCTTTGTTCCACCATTACCAGCTTAGAGTCCCCAAGGTAAAGACAGAGAGGATGATACCACATCAGCCTTCCTCTCTGACACTGTACTTAAAGTACCCTGAGCATCTTCCTTACAAACATCACACTAAATCCTAAAGTAGTCCAAACATTTGGAAAATCTGGCAAGGGAAGGGGAGGAATGGTATTGACAGTTAAACTCTCATTTGAAGGAGATGCTTAATTTATGATCAGACAT